AGCGCAGGTTTCCCCTGCCGCAGGGCTTGCCGGGGCAGCAGAGCCCCTCTAAAGCCCCAGTGCCGGTCACACGGCCAGCTGGAAGGCTGCTGCCCCCAGGCTCTGAACCTCGCTGCCGGAGCTGGGCTTTGCCGACCGCCAGCCAGGCCGGGGGATGCTGCACCAGCGTGTCCTGCTGTGGCCCCAGTGCGCTGGGCCGTGCGGCACGGCCAGGCTGCGGGATCCTGTCCCTTGGCAGGGTTCCTGACTCCAGCCCTAAGTCTGTTCTCCCCGCAGGGAAGAGCCTGGGCTTACAGCTCACCAAGACCCTGGAGCCCGGGGAATACAACATCTTCCTGCAGCTGACGGACAACCAGGGGAAATCCCAGGTGACGACGGTCAAGGCCAAGGTGTGTGACTGCGAAGGGGGGAGCCGCCATCGCGCTCTGCCTCGGGCTCCCACCTAGTCGCCTTCGCCTGGGCCCCTCTCCACTCTGCCCGGGGTGCGTGTGTGGATGCCACCAGCATCAGGGGCGGGGGGCAGAGGCACCGTCCCATTGCCTTGCTGCTTTCCAGGGGCCCACGGGCGGCAGGTGGGCAGAACCCCCGTGCCCAGGGCGTGGGCTATCCCAGCCTGGAGCACAGAGCAATGTCGGCTCAAGCCTGGCTCATTAACCTGTGGCCCAGGTCAAACAGCTGCCCCTGGCCGCGAGCAGCTACGTGACCACCCACGCGGTGAACACCCTGACGGGCCTGCCTGCCTTCGGCCTGGCCGTGCACCTGTTCCGACTCGAGGGGCCCGAGATGCAGCGCATGGAGCTGCTGAAGAGGTAAGTGCGGTGAGGCAGGCGGGCTGCCCTGGAGGGCCACCCCACAGTCCCTACGCGCAGAGGCTTTGGGGGGCTGGGCTGAACCCTGAGGAATCTGATCCCAGCCCACAGCAGAAGGGCCCAAGGCGCTACAGAGCCACCCCCTGGGATGGAGCCAGGGCTGGACTGCCGCCTCACAGCTGGCCTGGCTCACGCTGCCCCGCCCCGCCATGAGGGGAGGGCTGCCTGGGGGTGCATGCTGGGGGATGGGTGCTGGCAGAGGGGCTGGGAGCTCCCCTCCAGCCGGCGCCCTAGGCTAAGAGCAGCCCTGCAGCCAGGGGTAGTGGGAGCAGGCCTGGTTCTCGCCCTGGGGTGTCCAGCCTGGTTCTCGCCCTGGGGTCAGGACGCACAGAGCCATAAGCCCTCGTCCCTCTGCCTGCGTCTGGGCCTCGCTCCCCACTGGGAGACTCCGGAGGGAGCTGCAGGGTGACACTTGGTTTCTCTCAGCTCCACCGGCGGGGACGGGCACCCTTCGCTCTTCTGGGCTCCCGAGCAGGTGAAGGCTGGCACGTACAAGCTGCACTTTGACACTGGGCGCTACTGGCGGCAGCTGGGCTACGCCAGCTTCTACCCCTACGTGGAGGTAACCCTACTAGCGCGGAGCGGGCCTGGGCCCATTCCTCCCCGAGCCCGGCTCCTGCAGCTCCGTCCCCACCTACCCTGGCACCGCGGCGCTGCTCACGGGCGCTGGGACCGGGCTGTCTTCATCCCGTCCTGGCGCTGCCCCGCGTCCCTCGGCGGCTGCCTGCCGCCAGACCTAAGGGCTGGGGCGCGGTGTCACTCGGCCGCTTCCCGCTTGTCTCTGGCAGGTTGTCTTCACCGTCACCGAGCAAAGCCAGAGGCTGCACATCCCCCTGCTGCTCGGGCCCTTCTCCTACACCACCTACCGGGAGAGCTAGCGCCCCCCAGAGCACGTGGGCCCGGCCGGCCACGGCTCCGGCTCCGGGCTGCAAGAAACGCCATTAAACGGCTCTTCCCCCAGCATTTGCCTGGCCAGACGCCCTCGTTCCTGAGCACTGCAGCCGCGTGGCCGCTCCCGGCAGGGCAGGGTGGCTCTGCGGCTCTGCTGGGGAGCACCATGCCACAAGCCAGAAGGGCTCAGCCCGTTCCCGAGGTACATGGAGGAGACCCGCAGGACCCGGGGGGCAGGAGAGGGCCTAGCTAGGAAGCCTGGTGCGGGTCTGGAGCGGTGACACCCCTGGGTAGGGGGTAGCTGGCTGGCTCTCCAGGCAAGGGGGTGGGGGCTGGGCGAGGGATCCTTCCGCACAGAGGCCCGGCCCTGCCCTGGGCAGTGAGAAACGGTTCCCTTGCAGCTTATTAAACCCTTCCTGGGGGTGTTTAATGGCGGCAGAGCCCCGCCCCGCCGGCAGT